AGGCCAATTTATTGGATGACAGTTTATCATTTTGGCCTGTAGACCACAATTGTTGTTGCTGAATTGCTTCAACAGCTTTAACACTTTCCAATTGGTCCTTTTTTTTTCTAGACATGACATTTACTCATGAGGGCAACAAAACATTTATCGACAGTTTGGTCAATTTTGAGAAAATGGTGAGGCTCTGCTGTGCATCTGTGAATCTTTTTTTTGTTCTTCTCAGCTAATTGGCGATATTTGCTGCTGATCATTGCTCTTTGTCTTGCAGCGGATGATAGCTAACACAGTGAAAATAGTGAGATACTGTAGAAGCCAGAGATTCAGTAAGTTTCAAATGTTTTCTTTTTTTTGTACTAATTTCACATTTGTTGCACTTAATACAACAAAAGGACACTTTATAAAATTAAACATAAAATATATATATACAAAATATACCTTAGAAGCACAATATCAAAAAACTGTATGATGAAGAAACAACAATAAAAGACTTTATGTCCTGTTAATTTGATGTATTTTGGCTACATCTTAGAATAAACCTGCAAGCTGGAATAGAACTAATAGAAGAGGCCGTTCTTCTAGAAAGCACATTGGGAGAAATTCTGACAACAACTAGCTTTCCATAAATTAAATTTCTTATTTCCAAAATAAAAAATAAAGTAATATTCTATAGATTGAGAAAAGTACCTGTTTTGACTGACTGACAGCAAGCTGTAATATTGATCTTTTGAAGTTTAGTTGGAGTATATTATTGGTATCTCTGAACCTTTAACATCTATATTCGATCATTTATCCAGCAGTTTCCCATTAATCCCTTTATATTGATTGCCCATACAGCTTAGATATACTCAATCAGCACAAATATTTTTTTAAAAAGCACAAATATTTTGGGTTCCTATATGATGAACTTACAAATTTTTCTTGCATTGTTTTCCTGACACTGCCCATCTTTTCAATTAAATCAGGTCCAGAGTCACCACTGCCAAGCAAGAACCACCCTGACGTTTGGACTTATATTCGTCAGCTTAACGTGATCGATAACCAAAGGATGCTTACTCAGCTCTCTCATGGACTTGAGCCCCGCAGGTCTTGAAATCCACTCAGGGACAGAAACATTACACGAAGACGCTACTCCATGACGTGATGTGCGCTCGCTTGGGATGAGTTTACTTAGTACAGGATTGAGGACCTGATGTTGTATCAGATAATGAGATATTGTTTCAGAAGCCTGCCTTGTTAAGCCTTTTCTTACAGTAATTAGTGATATTTTAGCAGTAGTTGTTGGCGGGTGATGTACCTCCTCGTATCATTGTCGTACAGATATCACAACAAACAGCATGAAGAAATGAATGATGTTTGGAGGGATCTCATTCATCAAACTGTGTAAGATTTTAGATGTAAACGCTATATGATGCTGACGCTTACAGGTCTCAGTATTCCTGCTATTCAGCTGTTTCGTATATTTTGTATCAGACAATATTTATATATATTTAAGTTTTTAAGACTTTTGTGTTGTAAATTGTATACAGATATTTATTTTGACAAGCATGCAGAGGATTATGATTGTTTTACTTTTTATTCATGTGAGCACATTTCTCTTTAAAGCCTGAGATATCATAAGTGTCTGAAAACCTTTTTGTGCGCTCTAAATAATAAAAAACCTTTAGATGTATTTGTTCAACTTTATATTTATTATCTAGTATAAAGACAGTTTGGTCAGCATACTGTTAGTGTATAAGATGGAAATCAACCAAGACTCATGAAACGTTTTCTTACATCTTATTGAATTAGAGCAGCAGAGCAGCAGCAGAACAGGTCAGCTGATCACAGTCTGTGCATTATGAAAATCTACTGGAACACACAATAGAAATGACTGTGAGCTGTTCAAATCATTGTCGATATCTACGGAGGAGGTCAGGGGAGTGGTGCGTGCTGTGAGTGTCTGCAGCCATTTGTAAAACATGGTGGAAGCGCTGCAATAATTTGGAGCTTCATTTTAGCCAGTGGTGTTGGACCTCTTGTCAGAAATAATGGAAATATGAACATAGATGTACCATCAGATTTTGATCCACCATGCAATACCATCTGGACACCTCTGACTGGCTTCATTTTTCAGCATAACAATCATCCCAAAAGGGCTATGCTGTAAAAAAAACAAAACAAAATCCAAAAGAGACATGGATAACAAAACAATAAAGGATTATCACTCATGGATTAGCCTCCCCAGACCCTGAACCTTAACATCACTGAAGCAACATGGGATCTTAACAGACAACAGAACAAAAGTCAGCCAACATCCAAAGAAGAGCTTTGAATAGCCATCAAGAAATGTCCATATTCCCAAAGACCACCTAAAGAAATTACAAGATGTTTACCTAAGAGAGTTCAGGCTGTGTTGAAGAATAAAGGTGGTCATACCAGATGTTAACTTTCAAGCTAATTTGAATTGTATAAAGAAATAAAACAAAAATATAAAGAAATGGCAGACTGCTTTCTATCTTGTAAATCAGGTTCTGCTTTAAGAAATAGTAATTTATTAGTGCTGGTAAACCTCTAGTGTATATTTGTTTAGTTAAGAGCTGGTTTCATAAATGACTTTTTTCTGAAAGCTTAAGCTGAAAATATTTGGGGCAGCAAGAAGGAATTAAATGTAAATTAATTCTTATCTCAGGTTTAGCTTTGAGTGATTTGGCGTGTCTGATCAAACATTAATCATCATCACTTCCATTCATTTCTACAAGTGCATTAAACATTTTTATTGTTGACTTATACTGTTGACCTGTGAATTGTGTCAACAGTGAAGCAGATGGTTGCTTTATATTTTCCATTCGCCACTACATGAGGAAAGAATGAGTCATTGACAGCTTTTAAGTTTGCAGAAATGTATTACCTAGATTTAATATGCGATGAATAGAGAATCAGTGAATCTGATATCTCACAGTGTTTCTGACGTCACAGTGGAGACTGAAGAAGTACTCATATTCTTCCTCCTGGAGCAAGGGTGTCGAACTCCAGGCCTTAGGGGCTTGTGTCCTGCATGTTTTAGATCTCACCCTGGGTTAACACACCTGAATCAAATGATTAGTTCATTTTCAGGCCTCTGGAGAACTTCAAGACATGTTGAGGAGGTCATTTAGCCATTTAAATCAGCTGTGTTGGATCAAGGACACATCTAAAACCTGCAGGACACCGGCCCTTGAGGCCTGGAGTTTGACACCCCTGTCCTAAAGCATGTTGTAAAGGTACAGTTAAATTTATAAGCTGTATTATTGTTATTAGTGAGGAAGCTCTGATGTTGCTCTGATGTAGCTGGTAAACTGGTTTCCTGATGGTAAACACTTATAGACAGTTGGGGTACACATGTACGCAATAAATCACAACCATGAACTCATCTGATATTTTGTTTATAAAGTCTCGATGTGGAACATTAGTTCTTGTGGAGTCAAAAGTGAATTGAAGTGAATGAAAAATTGTTTTATATAAATTGTACATTATTCTTAAATGCTTTATTAAGATGAAAAACACTTTTGAAGAGTTTTTGAGTGATATATTTCTGTATTAGTTCATATAGATAGTACAGTACATTTGAATGATTCCTTTGCTTTATGTGGTCTTATTGATTAAGAAATCCACATTGTCATGAGTTTACATGGATTAAATGAGTGGTTGGTGATCTTATTGATTTCCCACCAAGCTTCCTGAGTTGCTGAAATGATGAAGGTCTTACAGCAATTATGTTTTTTGATGGATTGGGACATGAGTATAGGTCTTTAATAGAGAGAAATCCACAGAATGACTTTTCGATTTCAAGTCAAGGATCTTGTTGCATATCTGAATATATCAATTTTATTACATCGTGTCATCACCCCAAAACCCCCCAACAATCTAACAATCCAATGAAAAGATTTAACACTGCAGACTGATCTAAACTTTTGCACACATACAAATACATCTGAGAACATCTGTGATGAACAACTGCATAGTGCAGTTAATCCAAGATAACATCATGCATAGATCACATATTAACAATTGTAGAATGTACCTCGTGGGCTTCACGGATACAAATGTTCCCAAATTTCTAGTAAATTTCCACTTTCCAGATTTCTGAGTCACAGCTTTGCACTGTGCTCACCTTTTTGCCTTCTATCAGTCATCTTCACCTATAATAACAACCTAACCTCTCAAAAAAAACACTTAAGCAAGAAATCAGGGGAAAGTTGACAAATCTCAGTTTTTTGTTGCCATGCATCTAAACTATCAGTCAGTGGAATGAATCTCAGTTAAAAAACAAACATCCATGCATTTTCTTTACTGTTTATCCCAGCTTTCATGGCACAAATGGCATCTTACACCACAGACAGGTTGTCAGTCGATCACAGCGCTACCGCACGCTCTTGTACAGTTAACCTAATATGTATGTCTTTGGACTGTGGGTGGAACCTGGTGCATCCAGAGATACCCCACCCAACCAAAGGGACAACCCCATTAAAAAAGGCCCCACCTAGGCTGACCAGGAGGTTTCATTTCAGAACCTGGTTGCTGTGAGAAGTCACACACCTCATCAACCCTTAACTTTCTTGACAGTGGCAATGCAGAAGTCTTTGGGTGTAGCCTGGGTTTAATTGCTAATTGTGTATACCTGAAAAGGTGTTGACAAAGACATTTCTTAGACTTGATTTGGACTGTCAATGCCTTTTAGAGCATTTAGAGTGGTCTCATCCAGATATCTTTTTTTTTAGGGAAACCCTTCCATATTTCAGTGAGACAATGCTAAACTACACACTTTTATTACAACAGCATGGCTTCATATTAGAAGAATGTGGTTGCTGAACTGGCCTACCAGACCTTTCTACAACTCTAAACATTTGGCAAAGAAGACCCGGGGGAATTAAGCAGCTAGAATCTTATATAAGGCAAGGAAGGGACATTCCTCTTGCAGACGTCCAGCTGATCGCTCTTTTCAGATGTTCATAGGCTATTGTCTTGATGCATGCTCAATCATCCAGGTAAGTAAATCCCAAAAGGTTTATTCTGTTCATCTGGATGTAGTGTTTTCAATGGGAGAAAGGTTTCATCACTCATCTAAGTTCATAGGCTATTGTTATACAAAGAGGACACACTGTGCATTAGTAAGCACGACCCTGTCCAAACCTTTTTGAAATGTGTTGCTGCCTAGAAATGGCCTTACATTTTCCTGAAAATTGTAATTTTCTAATTAGAAACATGTATGATTATATGATTTCTATTATTCTTTTGTGTGTAAAATATCAGTTTCTGAAACTGCAAATCATCACATTATTTTTTATTTACATTTTACACATTTAAAAAAGAAATTGCGGTTTTAAAAGACATTTTAAAACATTTTTTACAGAATCAAATTAATTAAAACTATTTTGTTTTTAGTGTACCACTGAGCTGCCCAGTAAGAGCTTGTTAATGAGAAAGAAATAACTGTAATATCCACCACCATGCACAATGTAGGCGTTCGTGCTCGCGTCCAGCAGGGGGAGCTGTTGCCATCAGTATCAAAAGCTGGATGCTGTCCAGTTCAGCTGGCTGAAAGTTGTGCAACCAGTGAAACCACACTGGATCGGGGAAATCAAGCTATGTCACGTGAGTTTTCCCGGAACTATCCTTTCTTTCACAAAGTTTGTCTTGTGCCCGGTGCTACCTGCGTGGAGGAACAGCCGCTCCGGAGCGCCAGCCTTCACACTGAATGTCGGTATGTGTGTTTCGATAATGTTCACCAGTTATCCAATTAGTCTCAATGAGCAGTTTCGACATAGGCTCACTGTCCAGCAGATTAAATATAATGCGAGTCTTGTTTGATATTAAACACACATTCGTGCAGATGTGTTGATGCGGGCTGTTGAGTGTGACGTGGTGCATTAATATAAGACTGTTATAAATATGTAATAATAACAAAGTAATACCGCTTTAAGTTTACTCCTAATGTTGCTCATACTGTATCTAGTTGTTGTTGAATGTTTTGAGCGGTGATTTAACCCTCACACAGGTATTATCTTCATCTCATACACAGCATAGTAACTGAGTAGGGGTTAGATTGGTTAAGATTGTAACATCTGCATATAACCGCACTTTTAGCTTAGAGGACGTGACACAAAAGCTGACCTCGCTGTCTCAGTGATTAATTCATCATTTAGTTGCGATTACAGTGACTACCTGTGGTTTGACATATGGCTGTCAGGCCTTATTGTTGCGGCGCTTGCAGTCGTGTTTGCTATTAAGTGAGAAACTGCCAGCGATGACTGCAGGAGTACTCCCGTATCCCTGTAACCCTGGCTTCTTGAGTGGTCAGACAATACTTGGGGGGCTGGTCCACTGAGCAAATTGCTGCCAGGCTAAGTATAGCATGAATACAAGTAAATCAGCAGAGAGCAATGGCTCCCCTCTGTGACAATGGTGGCATTTCTCGTTGTGATGGATAGTAATCCCAATGAGGACCCAGGTAACAGCCTTTTAAAAGCCGTAATTGCTCAGCTGTAAATGGGAAACCTATGAACAATAGCAATGCTATAATTTCCTGTAATGATGGAATTATTTCTTTACAAGATGCTTTTATGTCGCTACAGACAAACAAAAGGATATGGTAATAAATCTCTGTGGTGTCCGGTTTGGAAGCATTATACCACTAACCCTGGCTTACACACA